ATATTTTTTTCTATTAGCTTTTTAAACGACCACATCCACAAAAAAGATTAAGTCGATCTTTAATGGATTCAATTGGTATTGAAAGAAATTTATTTTTTAATCATGTAAATAGTCTACGACCATCAAGAATGCCTATTAAAGGTAATTAAAAAATTCTTTAACAAGTCAATTCTATTCATATGAAATTTTTAATTTTAAGAATTAAAATCTGCAGTTGGTATTATTCTTCCAACTGAAAAATCCTTAATCGCTCTTGAACAATGTAAAGCAATTATACCACCAAATTATTCACGTTGTATACAAGTAAATAAAATTAATTCTTTGAAATTTTATAATTTATAATTATTGCTTTGTTTTTTTCAGTATGGATTTCCTGATGAAAGTTTACGAATTATGTCTGTTGATTCTGATAAAGTAAATAAATAAATAATAGAATCGAAAATTTTGAAATTTTTCTTTTTGTTTCTTTCTTCAGAGTTCAATGATTTATGAATTAGTACAAGATGGAAAAATTACAAATGTTTTATGTCCAACATCACAATATGTTATAACAGCAGGCACTAATACATTAATTAATGTATGGGAAATTGGTAAAGGTCGTCATAAACGTTTACATCTTAAAACTCGTCTTACTGGTCATAATGATATAATAACATATTTAACAGCATCACAAGCATATCGAATATTAATATCTGGTTCTGATGATCAAACATGTATTGTATGGGATTTAAATCGTTTACATTTTATTCGACAATTACCAAATCATGCTGGATCAATATCATGTATATGTGTTAATGAATTAACAGTAAGTTAATTTTCAAAGAAAAATTTTTCATTTAATCAAATAAAATATTTTCTAAGGGTGATATTGCAAGTGCAGCTGGAAGTTATCTTTATGTATGGACTATAAATGGACAATTACTTGCATCAATTAATACTATGGCTTATAGTAGACAACAATCTATACTTTGTGTTGCTATGTCTCAAGTAAATAAATTTTTATAGAAAATATTGAAAAAAAATTTTTTTTTTTTTATTATTAGATGAATGAATGGGATGATGAAAATGTGATTATAACTGGTAGTTCCGATGGTGTTGTTCGTGTAAGTTTATTTTGGAATATAATTTATACTTATTATCTAGAGAATTTTTCGTTCTGTAAATAAAACTATAATTTTTTTGTTTTAGATGTGGACTATTGGTTATGATCAAGTACTTGATGCACCACCATCATCACCTTCAATGTTAACATTAGGCGAAGATCGAGGTCGTTTACCATCAATATCTCAACCATCACCCATAAAATTACAATCAAGTACAGGTCAAATATCCATTGATAGTGATGCTGAATCCGATGAAGGAGAAGGAAAAACTCCTGTAACACCTACTCAAACATGTCTATCACCACAAGTAGACCCATCATTTGATGATGATGGAGAATTAAATATAAATAAAGATACACTTGATGTACCATCTGCAACATCATTAAATAGTCCAACTGGTAGTGATAAATTTATTGTTGTTACAGATGTTGAAATACTTGAAGCAAAAAGTAATAATAATAATAATAATAATAATAATACTGAAACTCAAATAAAATCGACTTATCTTGATTTAAAAGAAGGTTAGACAAAAATCAAAAGAAAAAGAGAAAATCATATACTAAATTGTTTTTTTTTTTGCTTAAGGTTTCAAATGGGATCGTCGATTAAATTATCGTGGTAAATTAACAATGCATACAGCTTATGAACGAAAAGAAAATCCAAGTCCAGCTGCTGTTACAGCAATTGGTATTTCAAAGTGTGTATAATTTTATTTAAAAAAAAAACCTAAACTAAAAACTCAATTTATTTTTGTATTTTTATTTTTATTCTATAGAGATCATAAAACTTTATTTGTGGGTGATGCACGTGGTCGAATATTTAGTTGGACTGTTAGTGATAATCCAGGTCGAACGAATGCTGATCATTGGATTAAAGATGAAACTGTAGGTGCATGCAAAGATTGTTCAATTCGATTTTCATTTGCTGAACGAAGACATCATTGCAGGTATGGATAGATTACTTGAATATACATGAAAGATGATTAAAAGCTTTTGACTACAGAACAGGATGTATGTAGACTTGTACAGAAAGACCTCTTCTATCTACTGATATTGACAGTATCAAATTCTAATACATATCGTTGACATGTCAATAAGTGATGTCACTTTCCTCGCATTCTATTTTAGTTGCAACGAAGCTGGGTCTATTGAGATGTCAACAGTATGTAATAGAACTCTTGATAATGCATAGACTATTATATAGAAAAAGTCTTTCTCTAGAAGCCTACATATATTCCTTTCTGTAGTTAAAACGTCATCGAAAAATTTATATTCATCTATCTTAAGAATACTTTATAACTTTAAAAACTTTATCTTTTTTCTTTATATTTGTAGAAATTGTGGACAATTATTCTGTGCTAGGTAATGTTATGTTTTTTTTTCTTATGATTTTATTATTCTATTTTATTTATTATTTAGATGTAGTCGTTTTGAAACCGATATACCTCGTATGAAAATTTATAAAAATGTACGTGTTTGCCGTCAATGTTATTCATCAATTAAAGAACAAAGATCATTAACTACAAATAATAACTGAACAAAATAAAGATGATTGAAATATTCACCTTATTTCCTAGTCGATATAATCTTAATAAAAAAAAGAAACTCACAAACATACATCAATGCAATTTATATATTTATCCGTTTTTTTTTAAATGTTTGTCCTGTTTAATCGTAGAAAAACTTTATTCTATATACATTTACTGTGCAATATATCGAAACGCTCTAAGCAAATAACTTTTCTTCAATAACAGTGATCTAGTTAAATTCTTCTTATTTTTTTCCTTTCTCATTTGTACATTAAAAATTATCCATATTCGTCTTCTTTATTTTGCGTTTGTATGTTTGTTTTCATTAACTACAACGAAATCTTCGTTTACATCCATTCTATTTATCTTAACTTATTCTCACATTCCGTGTTAGCATGTGTCGTTGCAAAATACTATCTATTTAAATCATCTTACCACTGCCTTATTCTTCCTATTTCTTTGCGCCTTCCGCCTATAATAAATTTTTGTCATTTTTCCAGAACAAGAACAAAAAAACACAAATAATCGTATCAATAACAACTTTATTTATTAACTTCCATGTTTTGTTTTGTGCCACATTATTATATAAAAGTTTATTTCTTTGATTATAAAATATATGAATACTCTGCTCAGATTAGTTTATTGAATTTATGTATGCAAAAAAAAGATAAAAAGAAAAAAACAATGCATTATTTAGGAAGAAATATATTAGAAGAAAAAGTTAACAATAAATAAGATATCGATCGATCAGTTCACTATCCAAATACGTATAGTCAATGCTTATGACTCGACTCTTTAAGTTGCATAGCCGAAAAAAAACGGAAAGGTTAGAACATAAAAGTTTTACACATTGTTTTGCTGACTTTCAAAAAAACGAATTTTTTCACAAAAAACAAATAGGATAGAGTTACCGCCATTTCTCAACCACAATGCATTTAATCAAGAGGAATTTTTTTTTCTACTTATAGTAGAAGTTGTTTAAGATACGTACTTTCGTTGTATTTCAAAATATGATGTATCACTGGGTTTTTTTTTTGAGAGTGTTCTCAGAATGTTGATGTTTTTTATTTGAATAAAAGGAGATAAAAAGAAATTAAAAAAAGTAGGCAATCCAAATACTATTTAGTATCTGCAGAGAAATTTTTAATCCGCACGACCCCAATATCTTCTGCAGGGGAAATCAAGAACTTTTGAGTCTATGACCACTGTTGCTCTACTCATCGAGATCTCTTTGCCATGGAAGTTTCAACATTTTCTGATGAATCATCCTTCAAAAATGCTCAAAAGAGAGTTTCCTTAAAGTCTTAGAAGAGCAAGCATGGATCTCCTATTGTGCTCGTTTTTTTCTATTTCTAGGATTCAACTTTTATTTAATATATATCACATTAATTATGCATGAGTGTTACAATCATTCAAACAGAAGTCGTTATATTCGTAATTAGATATTAATTAATTAAGATAGAGAAATGAAAATGTAAAAATGGATTGACCGTGTTAGTGGGATGTTATCGAACTATTAAAATACCAATTTCATTCAATTATTGAAATATTGTCTTAATGCAAACTGTATATATGATTTTCTTTTCCTAGTCACAGATTACCCTCATTTTTTGAAATCTTCTAATACAATTTCAAGAAAGTTTTAATTAACTCATGGAATGAATGAATTAAAAAAGATTTTTATATCGTAGAAGAAAAGTTATGTATCATTTATTAAATTTAATACTAATATAATATTTACTTGTAGTATATTTTAGAGAAACTTACGCGATCCCTCTATATATAATTCGGAATGAATAACAGTACTACATGTTTCGACAGTTAAATGAATATAGATCGAGTCGAATTCGAATCTGAAAAATCCAAAGTTTAGCCTTTAAATCAAAAGTTGTTTGATTATGAAATAACAAATATTTCTTTACAAGATCTATGATCGAATATTGATCAGCGTTTGAAGCAAACTGTTTACTTATCTTCACTTCAATACAGAAAAACTTTTCTAGATCTCATCCTAAACTGTGGAAAACGAAAGACCGACTATTACTCGATTACGGTAATATTCACTTAGGCGGATGTGTAAACATTTTAAGATATAATAGATAAAATTTTTATATGCTGAAAATTACTAGATGAAAATGATTACTCTACTGTCTGAATTAGATTCTTGTGCGTAATTTCAAAACTTCTTATTTTCGAATTTCTGAAACATATCTTGCATGATATTAGAAAAACCGTAATTGACTGAATGCATTAAAACACAGAAGTTGTTGAAGACACTGAATAAATCATATACATAAATTTTTGAATTCAATTGAATTTAAAACTAGACTCTATATCTATTATCAATCTTGTTCATTGCATCTATGATAATGTCTAGAATATTAATTTTCTATTGTAAGTAGAATAATTAAAATAAATTTTAATAAAATATTATTGATAGTTTTAGCTTATGATGATATAAATGGTGATGCTGATCTTATGGCTGATCCATTACTTGACCGTAAAAGTCGTTTTATTTATATAACCCGTATGTGACCATTAGCTAATATGCGTACACTTAGCCTTGAAGATATAAAACTTATAAATGAACGTGATAATCCATCAGTAGCAGACTATGTTGTATTAGCACTCACACCAGACACACATGAAAAAGATACAGATAAAAGATTAATTTGTGTTACAATAATCGAACGACTAGGTGGTATGAAATGTATATGTGATATTATATTTCTTTACCGTTCAAAAGGGCCACCACAATTTTATACATCTACTGGTGATATAAATGGTTTGCAAATGTGTGTTAAAGAAGGTTTTATACCATTACTTCGTGTTCCACCACCCGTACTACAAACACAATCAAATCTTTATCCACATTCACTGAGTCATCATGCATATCAAACATCTCCATAACAACAACAAAATTATCAAACATCTGATTATTCGAATACAAACACTCTTACAAAAAAAAGTGATAAAAAAGAAATACTTGGTAGTATATCGTTTCAACTAAATCCAAAATATTTAATTGGAATGAATAGTAAACGTAATGAAAATGATTTATTTGGTTTAGATTCATTAAGCATTTTATCAGCATATAATATTGAAGAATATTTTAAGTATGATTTTAGTGTTGAACGATCATCACTTTACTATCAATCTCATGACATTTGAAAAAAAGCAATATAATCCGTCCACATAAAGTCATGTGGAGAATTAATTCATGTTTATGTTGACTAGTTCGATATTTTATTTATTGCTTTTCTTATTTCCTCTAGATTCAAAATATATGTCTTTAAACATTTTTTTTACTCTTCTTTTTTCAAACATAACGCAAAAAATATACAGATATTTGAAAATATAATTTATTATTCATAGAAAAATTTTGCAATATCGAGAGAAAGAAAATATATTTATATGAATAGAATCATTTTACAAATAATACACTTGTATTATTTCAATTTTTTTTCTTCATTTATTATTGACTTGACTTGTGTTTTTTTGTGATATAAACGAATTAAAAAAGAACTTGCAGAATGAATCAAAACGTATAATTTGAAAGAAGAACCCTTGTCCTATAAATAAATTTTGAGTATGTCAAATGTCGTTTGTATACTTCTTCCGTGAAATGCTACAGGTGAATAAAAATAAACATCAGAAATAGTCGAGTCAAACTTTTGATAATCAACATTAATTAATTCCGATCGGAATGATACATTGATTGTACAAGAATAAATACGAAAGAAATAATATTTATTCATGAAATTGTTCATTATCGGACATTTCTATATACTTAAACGTAAATCAGTTACTTCTGTTTTCCTCTTAAGAAAATGATTAGCATTAATTAGTCACTTTTTCATGATATATTTGTCGAAGATATTCATATAAAGCAAAATTAATTTCCACAACAGAAGGTACTAAGAGAAATCAAAGTTGATTATTATCCTTCAAGGAAATCTTAGTTTTGAGGTAGTTTTTCTAAGTATCCACGATAAAATACTCGCTAATGTTCACTTAGATACAGTTATTAAACCAGATCCGCTATTGATTTATATTAGCCAGGGTTTCACATAGTAGCTAATGGAATGTATTAGTGGATTACTTTATGAACTACTTCGGAATTTTTGATCTTGTGCCGATTCAATAAAAATTACATCATTCGAAAGAGTATTAAAAGATGAAGAAAATATACTAATTTTTCCGGAGGCATACTTCTAAGTCTCCAGGCAAAGCTTTTAAAATATATTTTCTAGTAGAAACAACACGTATCTTTCGTTCTCTCTCTCTGAATGACCTATTTTTTTTCTCTTTATTTTATTTTCATCGTTCTGCTTGATATGTATATACATGTATCAGCTTGTACGTATATTATATGTCTAGCCGATAGCGAAAGTAAAAAAAAAATCTTGTCATGCTGCTTGTAATGATGATGATATCTTTGTTTAATTCAGACATAATTACTAATTTAAAAAATCCTTCTGAACAAAAATAAGATACTTATATGGAATCATATTTAATTATTATTGCGAGAGAAATATTTATTTGAAAACTGAATAATTGAAACCTTATTTATGGTTCAAAAATTATTATTGAATTTGTGATCATTTTATTTTCTTTATTGATTCAGAAGATCCATTTTTTTGTTATTACTTCTATTGAAATAGATAATCAATGAATATCATGTTTGGAGTAGTCAAGATCAATAAGTTTTCTTTTTCGTCTCTCAATCATTAGTGTAAATATTTGATGAGAGATCCTATTGAAAAGAGCACGTGTGTCATTCAATAAACATACACGCTGATATAGCGTATGATGGTTTTGATCAAAAAATCATTGTTCTCTTTTATAATGTTTCTATTATTTTATGCCTGTAATTGGACTCATAACGTATATGTTGATTTTTCTAAACTCTCAACAGTTCTAGATCCGATCAAAATAAACAGACATTCTGTTCAAATGAATTATCAATCAGAACAGTCATAGCTGGTTCTTTTTTGTGAGAATAAATTGTCATAAAATTGCGATTGAAAAACCACTGGATACCATTGTTATGTCTTGGTCTGCACTAGCTTGACGATTTTTTCATTTAGTTTCATCTAAATTTTCTTCTCTCTTAAAGTGGTAGTACCTGTTAAACGTTGTTATGTTGCTCAATACTCATAGAATCATTCAGAAAGTGAAACACAGAAATGAAGGAAAGTTTTTTTACTTTAACAACCGAATGATGTCGCAAAGATGTCATAAGCAAACGAGTGATTTACTCAAAATAATTGATAAATAAACATGCACATTCTGTCGAATATCATTCATAAAGTAAAATCATTTCAGTCTAGCAATTTGAACATCGGATGAATTCTATCTTTTCATAAAAATAAAGATTAGTCCAGTTCAATAGAACTATGAAATAAACTAAACACGACCACTTTCTGCTTTTTCGTTCAAGTGTAGTTATTAGCTTGTACGTATGATAGTAGATGATAAAATAAATATATAGATACATGGATATCACATAGAATCGTTTTGAAAATTATATGATATATAAGAAAATCACCATGTTTTCTCACAAACTGGATGAAAGACATAGTACTAAAGTATTATTGTGAAAATAATGAGCGGTTTTTTAATCAACAAACGTAATATTTTCGTTTTAGCCCTTGTACAAGCAATGCTTTCGATCATCGTATGTATAAGCATTTGCATTGAACAATACACGTGCTCTTTTCAATAGAATCTCTCATCAAATATTTACACTAATGATTGAGAGACGAAAAAGAAAACTTATTGATCTTGACTACTCCAAACATGGTATTCATTGATTATCTATTTCAATAGAAGTAATAACAAAAAAATGGATCTTCTGAATCAATAAAGAAAACAAAGTGATCAGAAATTCAATAATAATTTTTGAACCATAAATAAGGTTTCAAATATTCAGTTTTCAAATAAATATTTCTCTCGCAATAATAATTAAATATGATTCCATAAGTATCTTATTTTTATTCAGAAGGATTTTTTAAATTAGTAATTATGTCTGAATTAAACAAAGATATCATCATCATTACAAGCAGCATGACAAGATTTTTTTTTTACTTTTGCTATCGGCTAGACATATAATATATGTACAAGCTGATACATGTATATACATATCAAGCAGAACGATGAAAATAAAATAAAGAGAAAAAAATAGGTCATTCAGAGAGAGAGAGACATAGAGAGAACGAAACATACGTGTTGTTTCTACTGAAAAATATATTTTAAAAATTTTGGCTGGAGACTTAGAAGTATGCCTCCGGAAAAATTAGTATATTTTCTTCATCTTTTAATACTCTTTCGAATGATGTAATTTTTATTGAGTTAGCATGACATCGAAAATTTCGAAGCAATTAATGTAATGAATCAAACAGTAGTAACAAATTCTACAATTTTATGATCACTTTACTTCATCAAATTCAAGTTGATTTTATTTTTACTTGCAACTATCGCCTTTCATTAATGTTATGTCGGACATTGGATTGTTTGCGATACTTTAGTTATTTTTCTAGGAGTTATTTTATAATGAAAGGAATACAATAATAATAAAAAATATGTAGATATTGCAAAAAGCTTTTATATTTTGAATCAATATGAAATAATGACTGAGTTATAACAATTTAATGAGCATATTATTTATTAGAGTAATACCACAATTTTCCATTGATGTCATTAGTAAAAAAAAACAAAAAAGAAAAACTTCATTTGTCTTGAACCGCTGGAAGTTAATGAATCATCAATCAAGAAACTTTTTTTCTAACGGAATCACATTGAAATTTTCAAGTTCAAACACAAAAAAAATCCATCTACTAAAAATATGTTATTTCTTTATGTTTTTTCCATAGTCTGTGCTTATTAGGAACAATACTCGTGAGAAGAATAATTTCAATTAATCGCAAAATATCGCGAACTACTCATTTAATTTACAAGCTAATTCCATGATTTTTACATCATTAAATTCAACAGACATTTCTATACTCAAAAATGTAAAAAGATTTAAATATTTATAAAAAAAATAGTTTAGAAAAAAAAAGAAAGTTATTGACACCTCTGAGAAACTGTTCGAATTAGAAACATTGACTGTACGTTAATGCATTGTTTGTTTATACAGAAAAAAAGACACTGCACTACATTTATCTACGAAATGAATTTGAACGCAATAGAAAAGTACAGATATCTGTCGTACTTTGGTTTGTTTTTTTCAGGACACATGCAACGACTTTTACATAACTAGCTGACATAATATGAGTACACTTAAAAAATAATCCGAAAAAGTGCAATATTTTTTCGACCTCCTAGTGCAGGAATAAGGTCACTTTTATGCAACATGATTATTGAAGCATAGCCTAAGCAAATACAAGATAATATATGAAATATAATGCCTGATCAAGCTTCAAGGTGAAAATAAATCACTTGATGTGAGTCAGAGACTTTGATTTGTTATGTTCACGATTTAGCAAAAATTGAGCCTTTCATCATTCGAACGATGGATGTTCGTGACGTCTCTCTATAACGTTCTTCTTATTGACTATGATTTTTATTAGTTCATATTTATTTTTAAAATAATTAACGATACAACTGTTCAAATTAGTGTGCGAACTATGGATATGTGAATTGTATATCAACATCCAGCACCTATACTAGCAAAGTACAACAAATTAACATGATGAACAACAAAATTCTATTTAATGATAGAATAAATCAATAAGAAAATCAAGAGATACCAAACAGTATAGAGAATGATAACAAGACCATGATTGCACTTAATAATCATAACGAAAACATTTCTTTTTCATTCATTCATGAGATCCATATTGCTTTTCTTTTTTTCATACAAGTAATTATCATTTAATATTTCTAGAAATTGATCACTGTTATAG